TGTTGGGAGGGGTCTTTTGGGAACTTGAAGTGTCTTACATGAGGGGATGACCTAATAAATTCCTTACTTTGATGCCAACCCTTTGGTTCCACCTCAGGGGCTGTGCAGGCCTTCTGACTGTCTATGAAAGTGATTTTTCTCTCTATGGAAAAAGATTATGGAGGCAATAAACAAAATACATAATGTGAGGTGTAGCTTAAGGATAAAGTGACAGTTTTTTCAAGATTGAGTATGAATGAGAAATTAAGAAGAAGGGGGAGGTGAAAAGTGTCATTCTCATATACTCCAGGTAGAAATGACCATCCAAGACTTTCATAGTATGTACATTAGGTTACATATAGCTGTCTAGGCCCGTGGTCGGCAAACTGTGGTTCACAAGCCACATGAGGCTCTTTGGCCCCCTGAATGTGGCTCTTCCTAAGCCTTAGGAGCACCCTAATTAAGTTAATAACAATGTACCTACCTATATAGTTTAAGTTTAAAAAACTTGGCTATGAGAAGAAATTTCAATCGTTGTACTGTTGATATTTGGCTCTGCTGACTAATGAGTTTGCTGACCACTGGTCTAGGCCTTTAGATAACCTGTTCTAGGACTTTTGACCCACCAGTCCTTGGCACATTATACCCATTGGGTTTACTGAAGATAAATTATTCTTTTACCTATTCAGTGACTACTTTAAATAGTAGTGTCTCTATCATTCTCTGTGTGTCTAGAGTTATTCAATCTGGAGTACCTAAAAGAGCTAGCAACTTCCAACCCACAGGTTCTATTCTTATCCATGGTACAACACTTTGCAGCAACAAGGTTCAGTTACCCCTATATTTTGTGTCTCCTTGATGAAGAATTGAAATGTCTGATCTCAGGACCCATTACTATCTCGGTGGATCCACTGTGACTCCCAGAACCTCTCTTGCTGATGGAGTCCTGTTTTCTCATAACATTAGTGTCACACTTGGTGCCACATGACAGCTTCCTGTCTCTTGATTAGGGCCACTTATCCTTTCTGGTGACAGCTGCTGTATTGTCAAATATCTGAAATACTCACCCACAACTATTATTGGTTTTATGCTAGTATTTTGTAAAGAGATGGCAAGTAATCTCTTTTCCTAAGTGAAATAATACTCATTTATTTACTCATTCACTATGCAATTATTTAATACATTAAAAATGCTCAATATTCATTACAGAAGTTTGAAATAATATCCCTGACCTCCAGAATTATTTCAACTTCATTGTTTACCATGGATAAATAATTAATGGAGAGCAGGGTATTCCAGACTCTCCAGAGAGGCAGGCAATGACGTGACCATTTCTCAGGTCATTTTTAGTGGATCGCCCTTGTCTATGACCTCCCTGCATCAGGTGGGGATAAAAGCTGAGGCTGCCTGAAGATAATAAGTCCAAGTCATTCTACTGGATAATCAATAGCAATGTAAGTCTTGTACCCAGTAGTCAATTTCCTGTGAAAAGTCAGCCAGGTGCCATCTTGGGATTTGGATAAAAGGAAAATGAGGGTGAACTTCTGGAAGTTGAATTGGAGTACAGAGGAGCTTGGATTCATTTTAACTTTAGAGGAGTGCCCTAGAAGAGTTGCAGATGGTGGTGATCACACTACCCATGATCAAGACTCCATGGGGAGAAAAAGGCAATTGTTTTAACAATTAACCCTCACTCTTCTTAATAATCTTTCCTAGGATAGATATTACAGCCCAATTCAGCACTGGATTATAATATACTCATGCATTAATAAGCACACATGTGAGACTAAATCTCAACTCAGGTTCCACACTTTGCACACAAGAATCACCTGAAGACCTTTGAAAAATAACATTGTCTGATCCCACTCTAGATAAAATTTTGATTTAATCATTCTGAGTTATGACTTGGACATTAGAATTGTTAAAATGTCTTCATATGATTTTGATACGTAAGTTACTCATTCTATGACTTAAGGAGAGTACCAATGCCTGTGTCTCAAACCAGACCAATTGATTCAGCACCTGTGATGTTGGGACCAGAAATTTAGTATTTTATATACTCGCCTCAGACAATTCAAATGTGCAGCCAAGCTCAGAGACAAAGAGACAAAGGGAAAAGGCCCTAGACTTTATTATAGATAGGGATACAACATTCTTGTGCACTTATTACATTTGTTATTTCCTTGTTCTTCTGGGAAGTGGGTCACCAATTTCTGGAGAGTGATGATAGTAGTCTGTGAGTGCCTACAGTGAGAAGAAGGAAAATGGCCCTGGGCCTCCATGTTAGACCCAGTTTCAAACTCCATTAAGGATGCGGTTTAGGATTCTCTGGAACACTGAATGGGAGCTGTTGGCCAGATGTTCCTTGAGCTTTGCACTTTCTCATATATGGCCATTTTTAAAAGCAAAAGAAATGACCAGAATCCTGATTCTCCCCAGATAAGAATTTTCACCCTAAATCAGAGTGACTTTTCATCTTTTATTACTTTCTGCATGAAGAGAAACAATATAGCTATGTTGCACATTACTGTGCCCATTTACTTCAAGATGGACATTTGTAATCTTTGTGTGCTGCTAACAGAGATATAATACAGACTTTGAGAAACAGAACACTTTTCTCTATGTATTAGGGTGGAACCATTCATTAGGGTCTCAGCATCCCTGTACACAGTGGACCCTACAGAGATGGAACTAACAAAACAAGCTTAACTGTTACTGTGAAAAGGAGTGGGCTTAGTAGGATTCAGAATATGAGTAAGAGTATAGACCCAGGACGTATTCTCAGGTTTGTGGTCAAAGGCGAATGTTTTATGAAATGGAAGCACCAGGAAAGAACAGGTAGTGGGTGTTGGGACAGGATAATACATTGTTTTGCCTGGATGAGTTTGGGGTGTGCTTTAAGGGGCCAGGGGGAGATGCTGGGTGAGCATAAGGATGTGCACAAATGCAGAAGACAGGCTGGACATTTGGGAGCTGGAGAGATGGCAATGTAACTGCAGTTTTGAGAGTCATTTGATTATCTGGGGCAATCAAATGGCCAAATATCTAAACCTAAGGGATTCTAAGTGTTAGAAGAGGAGAGGACAAAAAGGGAAACAGATACAGCAGTGAGGCTGATTGACTAAACCCAGGAGAGTGATGGCACTGACCCCATGTGTTTGGAGAAAGGAGAAATGGTCCTGGCAGAGAAAGGTGAATAGTGTCATTCCTGCCTCCTCCGGCTCCTCAATGGACCACTTTCCCTCCACCCAGCACTCATCAATGGGGGGGCCAGTCCCCAATTCAGTCTCATTTTTGCCACCTGAGATGGTCACAAGAGGGTAGGAATTTCTCCAATAGACAATGGGATAGAAAGGGTGTTTCCATCTATAGAGCAACCCAGAATCTTCTGGGTTCTCTCAGAAGGCAGAACCAGGAAAGCAACCAGGAACCAATATAGTTCCTGATAGTTCCTGATTCATATGTAAATGCTGATTCTCATTTAAAAGAAAGAATAAAGGGGTTTTCTGTTTTAATCACCTCCTTTTCACCCCATTGGTGAGGGAGGGATGTCTACCACACAGTTTGGGGGACAGCAAGTAATGACATCTGTCACTGGACAGATGAATTGGCAAATGTGTATTAGTCACATATACTCCTAAACAAGGAAGAAGGCAGTGCCAGCCATGCAGGCCTCACCATGGTTGCCCTCAGGAACAGAGGGAGCAACCAGGGGCTGTGGAGGGTCGGTTATCCCCTGGTTTCCCTAGGAGGTTATGGCATGCTTGTTTAAATAATTCTATCGCTGACAGGGAACTGAAACCTGTTATTCCAGGCTGAGCAGGGTTACATGTGGCCCCCTGACAAGGAGCACTGTTTAGCTGTGGGACCTTATCCAGGAGAGCAGATTCAGGAAGGGAACTTGCAAATAGGCTGTTCAAGGCCTTCTCAATTTTGCCAAATGTCACAGCAGCACATAATGTTGAACTTTAATGTTAGACTTTACGCTGCATTTTCTTGATTAGGATAGGGCTCAGGCACAGGCCAGCTATTTCTCATGAATACATGTGATTGTATATAACACAGTGTATCTTCATATCTGCTCTATAAATTTGGTTGGGTTCAATGAGTAAAAGTTACACCACAGGATTTGGATGGAAATGCTGTCAAATTTTATCTTCTTCAAATGAAATTAAACATGGTTAAAGGCCACATACTGAGACTGGTGAGAAATCCAGTATCAGTTGTTGAAGGGAGTCCCTCCCTATTCTGTTTATAGAACAAAGCAATTGCCACTCTCTCTGGCCGTTCAGGGATGGAGCCTCCACACCTTACATGTCACGCTGAGTCATGGGGCATCTCCTCATGGTTCTAGTGCCAAAGACCTCTGTCCTCCCTGGCACGACCTGGTCATCTGTGCCTGTGGTCTTTCCAATTCAAAGACACTGTCATAGGTCCAGGGGCACCCCAGGTACAAAATCCACAGTCCAGGAACCCCTACCAGGCGCTTCAACTCATGGGGAGCCCTCAGCCAAGAAAACAGGATGTAATGTTGTCTTAGAAGTTTATTCCATCTTATCAATTTCTCAGTAAACCACCTTTCCTTGCATCATTTTACTCATTATGGTATAGGCAAATCTTTTTGTTCCAGGACCTTGTTTTATTTGCAAGGTAATACAATGGTTCACATTTCTATAAAATTCATCCTCTCTTTTGTAGCTGATCTTTCTGTGTTAGAGACCCTGGTTTTATAGGAAAACCTTTTCTGGTCACATAGGCCACTCCTCCTGAACTTCACCACAGACCAAGAGTTCTTTTTCTGAATCTCCACTCCATGCAGTTGGTTCATAGCTCAGGGAGAAGCACTTAATTTGTCCATGAAGGTTCCCACAAAATCAATGAGTTCCAGATTCCCACAGTGTTGGTCTTCAAGGTCTCAGTGGGGATACAGACATTGTTTTATCTTCTAGCTGAAAAAAGCAGAGAAATGCAAGATCTGTGGGGATGAAGGAAAGCTCTTCAACTGCAGCTGGTGTTTCAGCTTCTTTCATGGGGACTGTCACATCCCTCCTGTGGAATCTAAGAGGTTTGTGAGATGCAGACCCCTCTCCTTCTATGGACCTTCTCCCTGCCATGCACACTCCCAATGCAGAGTCTCTCCTCGTGTCCTGATGGCAAAAGAGCAGGGTCAGAAGTACAGGGTCTAGCGATATGATGTGGGGAGCTGTTTAAAGATACTGTCAACAGGAGGGTAATATTCCCCTCTCTCCCCAGGGAGGTTGAGACTGGTGGCTGGGTTCCTTGTCTACATACCACTACTGTCCTTTCCAGAACTTTCCCACCTCAGACTCCTGTTCACAGGAGCACAAATTCTAGTTGTCTGTGTTCTGTGCTTATTCAGAAAAGGCAGGAAACAAAGATATTTTTCTTCATTTTGCCATGTTCTCAACTGGGTAATAGAGGCACAAGGCCTCCCAGGGGTTAAGGCCCATTTCCAACACTAAGACTTGTTGGGCAGGGCTACTTGTGCTCCCAGCAGCTCAGAAAGAGAAAGGGGAGCCCATCACTCACCCAGACTCCATATTACACCCAATAAAATGCTGCTTCTACTCTAAGAGCCAGGGTTACCACATGAGAGTCCTAGAGAATCTGGGAGGTGTCCCCTCATTCCCTGGCTGTGCCCATCAGCTATGTCTGAAAGAACAGTGGCAGCTGTGGGAATGGAGGTGTTTCTGGGGCTTGCCTTGCTCACTTATCTGACATCTCAGGAACAATTGGAAATGTACCTTCTGCAAAATAAAAATGTCTTCACGAAGTCAGCAGCAAGACAGTGAATCTGAGGTCCTGGCAAGACCGATGAGGCCTGAAGAGAAGATGGTGAGTTGAATTTGACCCAAAACATCTCCTTTCTGCTCACATGAGAAGTCAAACAGTCATGGGTGAGGGCAAGAGTTTCAAAGGGTGCCTGCTCTTCTGACCATGCCTCATCCACGCCGAAAATTCACCAGAACCTGTTTGCAGAAAGAAAAAGAAAGAAAAAATCTCAGCTATTACATGTTAGTGTCCAAGAACAATCCCTGTTTGGGGAAACTTCCAGTAGACTACTGTGTTCATGTATCTGCCTAGACATGCATTTGGGCTCACTCCTGCCAAGTTGCTTTTCATTCACAGTCTCCTTCTTTGCAGAAATGTGAATTCCTACTCCTAAAGGCCTATTGCCATTTCGAGGGCAAAGTTTTTCCAAATATTCCACATGAAAATTATGTGAGTAACAACAACAAACCATGTATAGGCCCCATAATGTTATCCAACCTTGACACAGACACTGTGGAATCTGTGATCTGAAGCCCATGGGAGGGGGAGCATGAGCTGCCTTTACCTTTACCTTATATTTCCTCTGGATTTTATGGGAATCCACAGAATGTAGACATTGAACTTTGTCAGTAATGCTCCTATTGATATATTTTTCATCAGTTTCAAAAGGCTTCTCAATGCCTAGAGACACTTAGGAGATTGGATGAAATCAAGAATAGTCTAAATGATGGATGTTATGCCCAAGTGGAGGGGTTTGTGCTTGATATGAACAACATCTATCAAGATCCTAAGGTAAGAGGCTCTCCCTACATCCATTTCATTTTCTATACATTGAGTCACTCTGACTGCATTTCCTGGTACTTGGAAATTTTACAGTTTCCCTCATCCTATGACAAGCCTATACAAGGAAGGATTCAGGAAGTGACTGGGTTTTTAAATTGAGGATTTAAGCTCACCAGAGAGAGCAACAGTGAATAAGTAGTTGTCCCTGCAACCAGACTCCAGGCCCCTGAGAGCTAATTCCTCTCCTCAAAAGTGACAGGTGACCATTGAGAACAGTGGCGTCCTCCCTGTTCAAAACCTACCGAAAAAATTCCTTCCTAAAGTCATGTTATCCTTCTTACCTCTCCCAAATACACTCAATCAGACCTCTCAAAGGTCCCAAACTGCAGATTCCTTCCCATGTTAATGAACCATATAACATATCACCAGAGGGGAATCAAATTGACAATGTGAAAGGAATACCACTGATTGTGATTGTACATCTGTAATATTTGATTGTTACTAAGACCTTAGATTACCTTTCTAACCCTCACTGAAACAAACAATCCAAAACCAATGACTGAGAGTCCTCTGTATAGTAATTATTTCCCATTTCTGTCTAGACAACAAGAGTTAATCATGCTGTTAGGAAAGAAAAGTTACTCTTACCAGCTTGAGATTTTTGTATTGTTTTGTTTTGCTTTGTTTTTGCTTGTTTGTAAATATATTTTTATTGATTTCAAAGAGAAAAGCAGAGGGAGAGAGAGATATAAACATCAATAATGAGAGAGAATCATTGATCAGCTGCCTTCTTCACACCCCACACTGGGGATTGAGCCCACAACCTGGGCATGTGCCCTGACCAGAAGTAAACCATGACCTCATGGTTCATAGGTGGATGCTCAACCACAGAGCAACACCGCCTGGGCTTAGCTGCTTGAGTTTTTAAACTTAATCTGTTTAATGTAGCTTATGTGTTTAAAACAAGAGTTCTGATCATTTTCCAATGCACATTGTCTAATGACACTGATATGGTCATTATTTTTGTCTGTGTGTTTTTTCCCCAGCACAATGACTCAGACCTAACAGAAGAGGAATTTAAGAAGAATTTCAAAAAAGTCTTTGCTATTCAGTAAACAAATCAGAACAGTTCACTAGTGTAGTGGATGCTGTTGATACCCTGGAAAATCTCGCTTTCAGGCATATTTCTCATCCCTGCTATTATGTGTATTGACTGCTTATGCCATCTCTCCCCAGTATATTTCTTTGGGCTAAATGGAGGCATATTCACCTGAAAGTTAAATCTCTTTGTCCTGGGGGCTGCTTCCCAGCACCAAAGATGAACCAAACATGTGGAGTGATTCATGTTCCTGTGCTCCTCAGGGAATCAGGCTAGAGCTGGTCTCCAGCTATGACCACATCCTTGCTTAGCATTTCCCAGCACAGTGTCCTGCCTTCCTTATCCCTTTTCATCTGGAGAAAATTCTCACAATAAATCACTGACAAAAGGGACTTTGTCTCAGGCTTTGCTTTTAGGGAACATACCTTCACATTAGGGTCTAGCAAGCCAGACCTAAGCATGGAGTTCTGAGCTGGATCACTGTCTAGCCAACTGGCAACAGGTGGAATACTGTTAGTCCCAGAGGTACTAAAACAGTGCAGTTGCAAAACACAATCACCCGTATGGATGAGATATAGGGGAAAAGGCCATTATCTAACATTTACAAAGAATAGTAACTGTAAGAACTGTGTGATTAGATGGCTATTTCTTTTTTAAAAACTATTTATATATGCTTTTATTAATTTCAGAGGGAGGAGTAGCAAAGGAGAGAGAGAGATAGAAACATCAATGATGAGAGAGAATCATAGACTGGCTGCCTCCTGAAAACTTCCTACTAGAGATTGAGCCTGTAACCCGGGCATATGCCCTGAACAGGAATTGAACCATGGCTCCACGCTCAACCAGAGCCATACCAGCCTGGCTAGGTGGCTATTTCTAAGCTAATTTAAAGTATCAAAAAGAGTACATGGCAAGCTTATATATTAACTACCACCTGCATCTGGAAGGTACACAATATGGAAGGCCTGGTGCAGGCCCTAATTTTAAGAATGTCGGACTTCTGCCCACCCTGAGTGTCTCGGTTGGTTGAGCATCCTCCTGTGCAGAGAAAGGTTTGCCTCTTGGCACATACCTGGGTTATGTGTTTGGTCCTGGGTCGGGACGTATACAAGAGGCAACTGATAGATGTTTCTCTCTGTGTCTCTCTCTCCCTCTTCTTCTGTCTAAGCATGTGCTTGGGTGAGGATTTTATATTTTAAAAAAAGAATGATAGAACTTCAGAGAAGACTGAATTCTAAGCTCAGCTTGGACTATTGTGCTCAATCCCTGATAAAGAAAACATCAAGACCTGAAACTCAGAATGGGGCTTTCTAAGTAGATGCATTTGAGAACTCTGAACTCTAGATCCTTCTGAACCCACTGTCCTGCAAAAGAGCCTCCTGTCCCTATTGGTCTACAGACCACCGCCCTACCTCCCCCCCATTTTGCCTGAACTAAAGCAGTGTCCTGCTTCCCTTATCCCTCCTCCTCCCAAGAAAATTCTCACAATAAGTCACTGACAAAACTAGGAATATACTAGATGAGCCTGCTGGCTGAAGAGATAGTTTACTCCAACAGAGCTGCAGGCCTGGCAACGTGTACTAACTGTCACAGCAAGATGAGTAATTTGTGTAATGGGCAACAATATGTTATCAAAAGAGATTATAAATAGATGATCAGATGGTTGAAATAGGCATCTGCCGTCCCTATTTTATATTCTAACATAGTTTTTCCAGGATTCACTCCCACACACAACCACTGAGCCATGCTGGCCAGCCAGTCTTGGTCCTTTAGAAAGCTCATCCAAAGAACCCAGATAGCCAGGGTGACAAGCTTATGGTTCAGGTGATCCAAAGAACCAGATCTATCACTCCGTCTAGCAGCAGAGCCCCACCAATGGCCCTATCCAATTGACTAATACAGCCTATGCCCTCACCCATTCAGGCAGCCTAGCCAGTGAGCCCACACAATCATGAAGCATAGCCTGTAGCTCCACCCAACGAGGGATCCTGGAGGTGACTCTGCCCAATGTGGAACAGTCTCTATCCCCATCCAATGCAGTATGCCACTGGAGGCCCCTCTCAATCAGAAAATTTGGCCAATAACCATGTCCAACATCAGAGAACAGCTAGAAAGTTAACTTATTGGGAAGCCCACCCCGTAGCACAGCCAACTTCAGGGAACAACCAATGGCATCACCAGATCTCAGATCACAATCAAAGGCCCAGTATGAGTGTGAAGCCCTTATAGTAGCCCCAACTGAGCATTAAGTCCAGCCAGAGACACCATCAGACTAGGGGACACAGCTTGAAACTCTACCCAACCAGGAGCTATTGCAGAGCCCAGCCTGTAACCCTGACAAATTACAGAGTGCAACCTTTGGCACCAACATAACACAAAACACTGCCTGAAACTTCACTCAACAAGAGATGATTGCAGAGCTCAGCAAGTGGACCCATCAATCCCCAGAGTACAGCCAGCAGTTGTGCCTGATCAGGGAGCCCAACCTGTAAGTTCACCAAACCACAGAGCTCAGCCATCATCCAACCACCAACCTCAGAGCACAGGCACTGGCCTTCCCAACTGAGACCCTGATGACATATCCATCTTCCCATGGATGCTATCAGCTCTCCTGTACTGTATTCCAACCTGAGCTGACTGTTGAAGGCATTTTTCTGGTGAAGTGAACCTATAAAGTCTATGAGAGGAGATTGCTTACTTATGTGCACTGATACCAAACAAAGGAATCAAGGATCATGAATATTCGGGTAAACATCGAACTACTCCAAAAAAAAACAAAAAAAAAAACACTAATAAACTCTAATAACTACCCTTAAAGAAATGGGGGGATATATAAGTTGTCTGACAAAGAATTTGGAATAATCCTCTTAAAGAAGTTCAGTGAACTATAAGAACCCACAGACCAGTTGTGGCGAACCTATGACACGCATGTCAGAGGTGACATGTGAACTCATTTTTGGTTGATTTTTTTTGTTAAATGGCATTTAAATATATAAAATAAATATCAAAAATATAAGTCTTTGTTTTTCTATGGTTGAAAATATCAAAAAATTTCTCTATGTGACACGGCACCAGAGTTAATTTAGGGTTTTTCAAAATGCTGACACGCTGAGCTCAAAAGGTTCACCATCACAGCCATAGACAGACAACTAAAAAAATAAATAAATAAACCAATAAGAAGTTTAACCAAAAAGAGAAACTATAAAAACAAACCAGCCCAACTAGCTATTCCCAGTCAGGACACATGCCTGGGTTGGGGGCTCATTCCCTAGTGGAGGGGGCAGGGGGAGTGCAGTAGGCAGCCAATAAATGATTCTCTCTCATCATTGATGTTTCCATCTCTATCTCCCTCTCCTTTCCTCTCTGAAATCAATAAGAATATATATTTTAAAACTCTTAAAAAATAAAATAAATAGGTAAAAAGGACTTTTTAAGTGGCCGGGAACAAATTTATTGAAATCAATAAGAATAGCTATTCTGGAATCTTTAATTTAGGCAGAAGTCCTTTGTGCGTCCTTCTCTGAGTGTATCCCTCTGAGTCCCTCTGTGCAGGGACAGTTTAACTGATCCTTCTCCCCTGGTGGCGCCTCCTTATGACATCCCACTCCTGTCTCACAACCACTGAGTCTTCACGAAGCTGCAGGGGCCACCTCTACTGCTTCTGTTCTGTTCAGCAACTCTGAGGTCCCGTCCATGGATCCTCCACTCAACAGAAGCACCCACTTACAAGCCAAAAGAAGCAAAGGCTGCTGCCCAATGGGCACCTTCTGTGTGCTGAGTGGAAATCATTAGAATGAGCTAAGTGTACGACTTTTCTGGCTACATATGCATCACGTGGCTATCTTAAGGTTCAGGACATTCACCAACCGGTGGTCCGTGGACCACTGGAGGTCCGTGAGGTCCGAAAGGTTGGCAACCGCTGCTTTAAGGAAACCTTTGGAGCAGCGGTCGCCAACCAGTGGTCCGCAGACCACTGGTGGTCCGTGAAGTCTGAGAGGGTCACCATGATTAGTAATGGATGAAGGGGGAACTTGCAGAAATATTAAGAGTGGGGCTTCACTGTTCATTCAATGGCCTCCTTCACTGGTACATCCCAGCTTCTTGTGGTGCCCAGCCCAGCTAACACTCTGGGTCTCGCAGGGAAACCCCAGGTCGAGGTAACTCCCAAGAAACAATCCTCACCCTTCCTGAGGGCAGGACTGACACCTACAGACTTGCATTTTTCTTATGAGGCAAGTCTGATGTGGAAATTCCTGGTCCCAGTGATGGCAGCGAGATTCAACCAGGATTCCCAGGATTAAATATGCTGAACCTTATAAAAGGTCAGCCTGATTTTTCAGTCACGCAGTTGGGCATCTGAGTCAATAAGAGTTGGGTGAGGTTAAGACACTAAGGTTCCGATCCTCCAGGAAGCAGAGAACCGTAATGGTGGAGGAAGGTGAAGACAATCCCCCAGGGGACAGGGGTTGGGGCATGGCAGATATGATACCCCACAACTTCCTTAAAATCTCACATTTTCTCTTAATTAGTCACTCTATGTCATTCATTTTTTAACTTGTTTAATAATTTTAATTGCTCTACATAGCTCACCACCTAGTAAAATCAACATGCCTGGCAGGGATGTCAGAATGATTCTCTTATGTGCACCCTAGGAATGCCAGTCTCAAGCCAAGGAGGAGTAGGTTTGAGCAGTTCTGTCTCCAGGAAGGTGAAAAAGGCAAGGTCACTGTGGGGCTTCAGGACAGAATGAACCTTTCTGGGAAACAGAAGGGTTCTCAGGGGGTGGGAGGGGCCACAGTTTCAGGACCCTCCTCAATTTTAAACCCAGACTTCTCTGTCCATGTCATAAGCTGGTTTTTGTGCTCATGAACTGCCAAATATCAAAATTATCTCAGAATCTAATCCATAAGTCAGTTCTCCTTTATTCAGATAGAAATAATGGTGCTCCTATTGCTAATTTAGAGGGTTTAGATAGACACAATCTTGAGAGAACAGTGATAACATGATCCCCCTTCACCCATTACAATCATGGTGACCTCGTGGACCACCAGTGGTCTAACAATCTTGAGAGATAAGGAATTGTTAGTTTGGTTTCTCTAACCAGGCAACCAGATGCAGTTCTAAGGAGGCAGTAATACCATGCACGACCAATAGAGAGAAGTGCAGGCGTGGTTGGAGTCAAGTTTGGGAGGAAAGGACTACCCAACTGGTGGTAATGGGGATTCTTAGATGCTAAAATGAGAAATGTGATGGCAGTAACAGGCTCCTTCCTTTGTTTGTGTCCACCCCGTGTGTCTGAGACTGGGTGGTCATGAGAGAAAGGCATTATGTGGTTTCAGGGGGTTTCAGGGAGTGTGGTGCTATCCAGCAGTAACCAGGTACCACGAAAATCTATCCTTGTTCCGTTCTGGATACAGGTCACTAACTTACCCTGAGGTGGAGCTCAGGGTTCCAAATTAAGGGCTGTTGTTATGGTGGTGACTACGGGTTGGGACAGGCCATGTGGCCCTGAGCCAGCCTTCTTCCTCTTTGGCCTGCAGAGGGGTGTTTCTCATGCATAGCCCTAGACTTTCCGAATGTGGCCCAGGTAGGATTACTGTGCACCCCTATAGTCTCTTCCTCTTCTGCATGCCTTAACCTCACTCCTTAACCTCTTCTTCCTCTGCCCAGATGTCTCTTCCAGACCCCTTTTCTAAGGATTCACTGCCTTCTCTATAGAGATAATCACATTTCCCCTCCAACGACCCATCTGGATTCTTACCAGCTTTGTAGGAAGACTCAGAAGTCCACAGCTGTACCCTCACTGAACCCAGTCACAAAGGTTCTACTAAGTTCTACCACAACCCAGTCTCTAAAAACTGAAATATTGCCACTGAGTGCCATCAAGTCTACACAACCATGCAATTGCCGGGGTTATGATTCCCCCTCTTTACCCATCTAGGGCACAAATGGACAAGAACTCAAGGAGTAAGACATACACCCAGGTGCTTGACTCCTTTCAGGGTGTTTGTTTTCCCGCCCTACTCCTGCCCAAAAAAAATGCATGCCTTTTCACCTGAATTCTAAACCTACTGACAGGCAAATATGTGAGACAGATGGGGAGCAAAATACCAGCTTTCTTCTTCATAAAAGCTGGGGACATGGTTTGGATGTGTGTGAAAAAATAATTCCTCAATCTGAACCCCAGAACTGGGCTTATCCACAAGGCCCAAGGCTGCTCCAATCAACCACACACATTCCCCACACCCAGACCGCTGTCCCTGTGCACTGGAGTTCAGAGGAGCACAGAGCCCTGGCCCCTCCAGCAGGATGAGCCCATGGAGACCCACCAAGGAGCAGACTCACCTTCACAGAACTCCAGCCTCAGAGACTCCACAGGAAGAAGGGAGGGCAGGGGGGCCAGGAGTCCTGCTGAATGATGGGCCACCTCCCAGAAGGGGACATTAGTGTGGGGCCTGAGTGCTCCCACTTGGGTCCCAGGTGCCCCTCCTCTCTATTTCTGCATCCTCAGTGTTGCCAGGTCTTCATCCTCTGCACCAGAAGCTGCTGATGCTGTTGCCTCCGCTTCCTCCTGCCCCTGAATTCTCAGGTCTGGGACTCTGCCTCCTCTCAGGGACAACCCTGTCCCCACAGGGTCTCCCAGGCTGGAGACTCAGCCCACAACTATCCTCTGAATGGAAACTGCTCCTGGTGAAGCTAAGGAAGCATGTCCCCTGGGTATTTTCTCTGCCCCCTGTCCCTTTTCAGTCGCTGCCTCTCCTGCTCTCCAGGTTTCCAGGCCCCGTAGCTAGGCTATTTTCCTGTTTTTGGAGTCGTTGCTCAAACAAGAAGACTCCTTGGGGCTGGCCCTGTCCCTCCCCTTGGGTCCTCCTCCCCTTGCCTCCTGGTCCTGACTGTCTCTTTTTGTCCTCCATTCCTGCTGCCACATGTCCTGATGGCTGAGAACGACTGCGGGGCTGCAGAAGGAGGGAGACATGTCTGAAAACACTCAGAAAGTTAGTTTCACTTCTAATTTCCCCATTTGGGAGGAGCTCTCCTCGAGTGATTGTACACACTTCCTGCTCAGGGCTGAGCAGCCACACTCGACACAGGCTGGGGACACAGGAGGGTTCCAGGCCCAGAAAGAGCCCAGAGCAAGACGATGGCCAGTGAAGGCACCGAACTCAGCACCAGGTCAGTCTCTGTCTCCCTTTACCTTTCTCTCAGGTTGTGCTGCTGCTTTGGTGTCATTAGACACTCCTGTAAACCTTGACTTCATCCTGCTTTACAAGAACACGCATGTGCAATTTATGAAATGCAGGAATACATGTGAGGGAATCAGATCTTTAAACTGCAGAGGGACAGCTGCTGGTGTGAGTGCAGCTGCCACAACCCACAGGACTCTTGTCTTACAGCTACTCCTCAGCTGTGGGCCACCTGGACTCGGCTGTCCTTTCTGACCCAATTTGTTATTTTCTCATGATCTCCGAACCCTCTCATTTCCCTCGGGGCCCCTCTGCCTTCACTAGGTTTTTTTCAAAGAGGGTATTTTAGAAAACATAAAATTCTGGATGCCTTGGTCTCATCCCTGAGCTAGGGATGGGTCAGTGCCAGGCCTAGTCCCATCTCTGGTTGGGGCTCTGGACTCTCCCTCCAGGGATCTTGATCTAAGGGAGTAAGAGAAAAAGAAAAGGCCAAGACATGAAAGACTAGTGCAGGCTGAGTATTTTCATCTGCACTTTGAGTTTCTGCTCTGTAATGGGTTATACCTCTGACAAGGCAAAGGCCAGAAATCCTATCCTTTTCTCTAGTAATTACTTAATATGTTTAACCTTTTTTAATAGAAAAGAATTACATTTTACATTCTTGTTCATAAAATTTCAAATGACATGCAAGTGTGCAGAGGGGAAAGTCCCCTTCCTTTGCCACCTGCCTGAAGCCATCAGTCCTGGCCCTGTTGAGTGTTGTGGGCACAGCCTTCCACGTCTCTTTCTCTGCGTTCACACATATAACTGATTGTCCTAAATACATCATTTGTGTTTTGTTTTTTAACAAAGAGGATAATATTGGACTAGAGGCCCAGTGCACAAAAATTTGTGCACTCAGGGGGAAGGGGGGATCCCTCAGCCTGGCCTGTGCCCTCTCGCAGTCTGGGACCCCTCGGGAGATAACGACCTGTTTGCTTAGGCCTGCTCCCGGGTGGCAGAAGGCAGGCCCAATCCCTAGGTGCAGCCCCTTGTCGGGCTCAGAGCAGGGCTGAATGGGGAGTTGGGGCGCCGCCCCCTATCATGCACAGAGCAGGGCGGATTGGGAGGTTGAGATGCCACCCTCAGTCACGTTCAGGGTAGGGCCGATTGGGGGGTTGGGGCACCTCCCCCACTCTGTCAAACTCAAGGCAGGGTCCATGGGGAGGTTGTGGCGCCACCCCCTGTCACTCACAGAGTAGGGCCGATAGGGGAGTTGGGGCGCTGCCACTGTCACACCCAGGGCAGGGCCGAAGGGGAGGTTATGGCTCTACCCCGTCACAGAGCAGGGCCCGTGAGGGGGGGGGGGGGGGGGGGCGGGGCGGGTTGGGGCACCGCACCCTGTCACACACAGAGCGGCAGGATGATCAGGGGGTTGGGGCGCTGCCCCCTGTCACGTTGATCCCGGTGCCAGGAGGCCTCGCGGCTCCACTGATCCCGGTGCTGGGAGGCATATTACTCTTTTACTATATAGAATAGAGGCCTGGTGCATGGGTGGGGGCTGGCTGGTTTGCCCTGAAGGGTGTCCTGGATCAGGGTGGGGGTCCCCACTGGGGTGCTTGGCCAGCCTGGGTGAGGGGATGATGGCTGTTTGTAGCTGGTCACACACCCTTCAGGGTGGGAGTCCCCACTGGGGTGCTTGGCCAGTCTGGGTGAGGGGCTGAGGGCTGTTTTCAGGCTGGGACTGAAGCTCCCAACTGCTCTTTTTTTCTTTTTCTTTTTTTATTCTGGGCCAGCTTTAGCTCTGAGGCTACAGCTCTTAGGCCTCCACTCCTGAAAGCAGGTATCTGGTTTGTTTCGGGTCTACAATCGAAACTCTGTATCAACTCCAGCTCTGAGATCCCGGGCTCACTGAATACAGGTTTCTGGGTTTTTGTTTAGCTTCTATGTTTGTTACATAGTTGCTTATAGCTCAGAGGCCTGCAGTGGCAGGCGGGGAACGTTGGAGTCCTCCGTCAGTGAAGCAAGCAAGCCTCATGTTAGTTTCAAGCTGCCTGGCTGCAAGCCGCCATCTTGGCTGGCAGTTAATTTGCATATCTCGCTGATTAGCCAATGGGAAGGGTAGCGGTCATATGCCAATTACCATGTTTCTCTTTTATTAGATAGGATATGCTATTTTGCATTGTTAATTATTTTAATAGTGAAAATATTGAATTTTTTTCACATTAATGAACATACAGATCTCCTCCATTCTTTTTAAAGCTGCATACTACTCCATGGAATCTATATGCCCTAATTATTTTTTAAAGAAGTTTTATTATTTTTTTAAATTCTTTATTGTTTAAAGTATTACATATAGTATTACATATGTCTCATCTTTCCCCCATTGACCTCTACCTAGCCACCGCCAACCCCACACACACATGTCCTCAACCCCCTAGTGTCTGTGTCCATTGGTTATGCTCATATGCATACATACAAGTCCTTTAGTTGATCTCTTATGCCCCACTTCCCTCCCCTGCCTTCCCTCTGAAGTTTGACAGTCTATTCAATGCTTCTCTGTCTCTGGATCTGATTTTGTTCATAGATTTATGTTGTTCATTATTTCCACATATGAGTGAAATCATGTGATATTTATCTTTCTCCAACTGTCTTATTTTGCTTAGCATAATGCTCTCCATGTCCATCCATGCTATTGTGAATGATAAGAATTCTTTCTTTTTTATAGAAGCATAGTATTCCATTGTGTAGATGTACCACAGTTTTTTAATCCACATATCTACTGATGGGCACTTAGGCTGCTTCCAAATCTTAGCTATTGCAAATTGTGCTGCTAAGAACAAAGGGGTGCATATGTCCTTTCTGATTGGTGTTTCTTATTTCTTGAGATATATTCCATCTTTCAGTTGTATTTTTGAAGTGGTTGTTCGAGGCAGCAAACTCCGGTGTTTACCTATGCCACCATCTTGGTTTCTCCCCGCATTTTCTGATTACATGGGAGGTGGACGTGTTTTGTGTCTATTGGTCATTTAAATTGCCTCTTAGGTGAGTTGCTGGCTTATTTATTGCCAGTGCTATTAGTTGAAGTGATTGTCTTTTCTTTGATAATAAAGGAGGGTTTGTTAAATATTCTGAAAGTTATAAATTTACTTTCCTTTTCTTTAATTTTGTTTATGGTGACTTCTACTTGTAAAGCTTGAAATTTGAAGACTTATTATAATATTGATTTTATAAGATAAATATACTCTGGCTATTATGAATAAATGGAAGTGATGCTAAAAGTTACTGGTGAATTCCATGCACACCATCTTCAACCATAGTTCTCGTGTTCTTAAGATGGCAGAGTCAACTCTACCTTTACTTCAGTGAAAGTTTCTTCTCTACTATCTTCAAAAATGTATTCTTATTTAATTTGGGGACAAAACTATTCTTCCATTGGTGCAACTTTAGCCTTCACAGATTTATCTGTCCCTAATAAATCTTCTCTTTTTCTCTTTACTTTCTTTTGTCTCAAACCTTTCTTCTATAGTGCCGGGGTCCAACCCCAGCGGTTCCAGGGGTCCCCAAAGGCGTAGATGGAGTCGGCTAAGAAGGAATGACATGGAGGCAGCATTCAGTTCATCAGCAGCCTAGCCAGGATCTCTAGCCAGGATCTCCAGCCAAGTTCTGGTCTGGATCTCCAGCGAAGTTCTGGTTAGGATCTCCAGCCAGGTTCTGTGTCCATGTTCTCTTGCTAGGTTCTCCAGCCAGGTTCTGTCCAGGTTCTCCAGCCAGGTTCAGTCACCAGGTTCTAGTCAGGTTCTCTTGCCAATTTCTGTAGTCAGGTTCAGTCCAGGATCTTTTGCCATGTTCTCTCGCGCGAAGTTCTTCTGTCTCTAATTCTGTGTAGGTTCTGTGCCTAGGTTCTGTGTCTCTTCGTTCTGTCTTCTTACATCTAGGGGTCCCTGTTCGGGCGCCAGATGCCGGGGTCCAACCCCAACAGGTCCAGGGGTCGCCAAAGGTGTGGACGGAGTCGGCGAAGGAGGAATGACATGGAGGCAGCGTTCAGTTGATCAGCAGCCTAGCCAGGATCTCTAGCCAGGATCTCCAACCAAGTTCTGGTCTGGATCTCCAGAGAGGTTCTGTTTCAGATCTCCAGCCAGGTTCTGTGTCCATGTTCTCTTGCTAGGTTCTTCAGCCAGGTTCAGTCCAGGTTCTCCAGCCAGGTTCAGTCACCAGGTTCTAGTCAGGTTCTCTTGCCCATTTCTGTAGTCAGGTTCAGTCCAGGATCTTTTGCCATGTTCTCTCCAGCGAAGTTCTTCTGTCTCTAATTCTGTGTAGGTTCTGTGCCTAGGTTCTGTGTCTCTTCGTTCTGTCTTCTTACATCTGTATTTATACCAGTTGATTCCAATCCTATCAATCTCTATTTCAAAGGTTAGGGCGTTTCTTATCTCCATTCCAGGGAGCAAGATTATGTAGCTTAAGCATGATTGTTCATAGTTAAAGTGATTAATTACCCACCTGGCACTTAGTTAAGAGGTTTTATTCCCTCCCTAACTTCAGGGGAAAATCCCTACCTGGGGAAACAACCTTTCTCAGAGACCTTGGTTAAAACACATAGTGCCAAGAAGGTGAGCAAACATATTAAGAACAGTATGCCATATATGCCAGGTCCCTTGAAACAGCAAGGATGAACTGGCTCCCGGCAAATTCCCCCTTTTTTATTTTGTAAAAGCCAGGCATTAAAAAGAAAAACCTGAAATGCTCTCTTGTATCCATTTTAAGAGTAGGATTGGCGCTTTCCGCTATTACCTGAGTCCTGATCTATCACCCCAGGGAGAGCTTGCCAATCCTGCACTTTCCCGGGGTGGAAAGGCTGCAGTGGGGTTAAGGATAAGGCTCCTTGGGCCTACCTTCTCCCATGCCAATACATTTACCTTTCCTTCCTCAGAAAAGCATGGACATATTTCTTATATAAAACGTTCTGTCTAACTGGGAGTAACCTTAATTCCTCTGCTAGCAAGCATATAT